TAGCCCAGCCTGGCTCTCCCCCTAACGCAGTTCACATTCAGGCCAACAGTGTTGTAGCCCTGCCCAGCCTGGCCTGTCCCCACTCCCAGTTTTCACACTCAGAGCAGGAGCAGTGTCCCAGCAGGGCAGTCCCCACTGCACCCCTGCCAGGCTTGCACACCCCCACCCCCAGTCTCACATGTGCTGGTGGTGCTGTGGCCCAGTCTGGCATGGCCCATCTCACCTTGGCATTTGGGTGCTGTAGCCTGGCCCAGTCGGGTCTGCCCCCATTCCAGCCTGTGCTGGTGCGTGCTGCCACCCAACCCGGCACAGTCAGCCTTCAGTCCCGGCCCTGATGTGAACTGGCCTGTCCTGAACCCCATCCTGCTTCTCATATCTGCCGCTGAGTGTTATACACTGGCCCAGCCCGGCCAGCTGCCAGAACTGAGTCGCACATATGGCAGCGGGCACTGCAGCCTGGTCGGCTCTGGTTCTTGCACTCACCTGCCGGGACTGCACCCTGGGCACTCCCCACGCTCCTTCATTGGTCTGCTCCCAGTGGCAGACCTTGTACACACGGGATGTCCTTGGCCCAGGCTGACATAGTCCACCTCCTCTGCTGGTAGAAACAGTGGCTCCTGGCTCAAGTTTACCAAGAGCAAGAAAATGAGACAAAGGGAAACATAGCGTCCGTCCCTCTGGAAGCCAGGGTATCGCCGGGCTTGGCCTGTGTGCTTGCGGCCGTGTGGCTGAAGGCACACACTGTGTTCCTCTGTGCCCACCAGGGGAGGAACGGGGTGAAGGGGCAGGGCCCCCAGTGCCCCACAGGAGTCCCCACCACCTGAGGCCAGAGATGGGAGCCCCCAGGCAGAAGCAGGAAGTGGACCCTGGGGTGGCCAACCTCCTTCACCCTCCCTGGTCACAGGCAGAGCCACAGCCGAGCTCATGGGCAGGGGTGTGTGACCTGGACTGACCGAAGCTCCTGGCTCCTGGCTCCTGGCTCCTGGCTCTGACCCAGCCCCGTCATTCCAGGCGCTTGGGGAAGGAACCAGCAGATGAGAGCTCTCTGTGCTTCTCAAAGAAGTGGAACAAAACGTGAGGGCTGGAAATCCAGCTGAGGGCCGTCTCCACTGTCCCCTGGTGCCCACACCCCAGCAGCCTGGGCTGGCCTCTGGTCCGGGCGGTGGGCATTTAGCCTGGCTTGTGGCTGCTAGGCCAAATATCTACCCCCTCTTGTGCCAGGTGGGATGCCAAAGCACCGTGAGGGTGGGAGTCCTGCCTCAGTGTCCCCTTAAGTGGCCTCCACTGTGAGCTGTGGGAATGGAGCTGCTGTGAGTGCTGGTGCGCACACACCTGTTCACACACACACCTGTTCACACACACACCTGTTCACACACACACCTGTGGTGTGCCATCCGGCTCTGCTCTTGTGTGCCAGCCAAGACACTGGGGACAGAATTCTGTGTCTAGCTCAGCCTCCGCCTGTTGGCGCTGTGAGGACAGAATGGCTGAGGCTGGGCGAGTCATTTAGGAAGTGAAGGAGTTTCCTGCACACCGAGTTCTGGCCGCTGGACACGGTGCTGGTGGCCAGTGAGACGCCGAGGGCAGCGGAGAAGGAGGGAGCCTCACGGGCCGGAGCCACCTGCAGAGCTGCACAGAGAGGCGAGCCCTTCATTCACTGGTTCACTCCGCAGATGCCCACAGCGGCCGGGCCAGGTCAAGGTCAGCAGCCAGGTCTCTCACGTGAGTGCCCAGCAGGGAGCAGGAGCTGGAGTGCAGCCATTCGCATGCCGGACTCGGGGGCCCGGGCAGCAGCCAGCCCACCCACCCTCCCTGGCGCTCTGACCTCCACCTCTGGCCGTACTGCTGTGGTCCCAGGAGAGCAGGAATCGGGATGAGTCTGCCTCCAGGGTGGTGCCACCAGGCCTGAGGATCCCCCAAAGCCCACCCCTGCACTTCTGGTCCAGCTCAGGACCCTCACAGGGCAGCCGGCAGCAGCCCACAGAGCTGGGCAGTGGACCTCGCACCGCTCACGCTGGGTGGGGTCAGGGAGGCTCCACGGGGTGCAGCCCTGGTCCTGGGCGACAGGTGCAGAACCCGCACCTCGCCTGACCCCGCCCCCTCTTCTGAATCCTCTCCTGTGGTTCTGTAGCAGAAGCCAACACGCAGACTTCTTATCTAGGAGGCGGGCGGGCCGAGATCAGCTTGTTCCCGGCCATCGCGGTGATGCCTGATTCTAGTTAGCAACTAAAAACATGAAAACGGAAGCCGGCTGTCGAGGTGCCACCTTGAGATGGTCGCGTTACGGCTTCAGGACTGTGGCTCGCTTAGGTAGGGGTCAGCGCTGCCCACCATCGACATCGCGCAGGAAGCCGTGTGACCATCGTGTTTCATGGTTGGCATCTGCTTTCTCCATGCGCGTAGTGAGGAGCTGGTCGCTTGGTTATTCAGGGGTGTGTGTGTTCAGCACTTTTAATTTCTTTGACAGGCACAGATAGAGTAGGAGAGACAGAATCTTCCATCCACTAGTTCACTCCCCACATGGCTGGGGCTGGGCCAGGAGCTAGGAGCTTCCTCAGGTGTCGGCTGCCTTCCCAGGACACGGGCAGGGAGCTGGACAGGAAGTGGAGCAGCTAGGACACGAACCAGCATCCACATGGGATGCTTGCATCACAGCAGAGACCTAGCCACAAAACCAACAGTTTTTTTTTTTTAAATATATATTATTAGCTTATTTATCTGAAAAGTGGTATTCTTCCATTTACTGGTTCTGGCTGCAAAAGCCAGGTCTTGGCTGGGCCGAAGCCAAGCGCCAAGGACTGCCTCTCGCTCTGCTTTCCAGAAAATACCAACGAACAACAGAAAAGAGCAGGTGTTGGCAGCTGTGTGGGCGCACTGGGACCTTCGTGTGCTATTGGGAGGAATGCACACTGGCGTAGCCGCTGAGGAAGAGGGAGCGGCAGCCTCTCAAACAGTTCAGAATAGGGTGACATTGTGGCAGGCGACTTAGGCCTCCACGTGTCATGCCAGTGTTCCACACAGGCGCCAGTTCAAGTCCCGGCTGCTCCACTTCCGACCCATCTCCCTGCTGATGCTCCTGGGAAAGCAACTCCAGCTCCAAGTCCCTGGGTCCCCGCACGCAGGTGGGAGACCCGGATGGTGGAGTGTGAAAGCCACCCTTCACTCCACGTTTGGCCGTTTAACAATGTGGGGCTGTTTTTGACTCTCAGCCACATGTAAACCTCTGCCGACACTCGTGTGCGGTCTGAGTGTAGCTTCTGATTTGCTGGGGAGACACGGAGACAGGCTGAGATACCTGTGGCTTCACTCCCCAGCAACCTGCAGGGCCCCGTGTGTGCAGGGCCGCATGTGTGCAGGGCCGCGTGTGTGCAGGGTCCCGTGTGTGCAGGGTCCCGTGTGTGCAGGGCCCCGAGTGTGCAGAGCCCCGTGTGTGAGCCCTCGGTCACCTGCTCCCCAGAGCCCACAGTAGCAGGAAGCTGGAGCGGGGAGCCGAGCCAGGTGCTGCACTGGGGTGGACACTACATGGTGTCCTGACTCAGTCCACACCCCCCTGCACCCCATGCCTGCTTTGCTCCTCTGGGGGGAGGAATAACTGGGGTGTGTGGTGGGGAAGGGCATGTCAGGAAGCAGTGCTTCTCTGCCCCCAAGCCGTGTGATTTCTGTGCATATGTGTGTGTGCATGTGTGCGTTAAAGCAAGAGTGACCACAGAGAGAGATCCTCCGTCTGCTGGTTCACCTCCGATGTCTGCAGCAGACAGGGACGGGCCAGGCTACAGCCAGGAGCCTGAGGGTCCACTGGGGTCCCCTGTGTGCTGATGCCTGCAGGAGGCAGAGCCGGTGGGAGGTGCTGAGGTCCCAGGGGCGTTGCTGGGGCCGGTCCCAGGTGCCTCCTGGGGGTGTCTAGGCCTTTTGTCCTCCTGGTGGCTCCGTGGCAGGCCCCAGGCACTGTGTCCTGCCTTCAGGAATCGGACCATTGAATTGGGTTAGGCCGCTGGCCCCTGGGACAGAGGGTGTGTGCATGGCTGGGGGCAAGTGGGTGGCAGCCCCGTGGGGCTTTCTCCTCTCAGCCGCACTCCTGACCCCAGGATCACTGCATCTCTGGTATCAGCGGCAGAATAGGGGCTTCTGTCCTCCAGGCCCTGCCCCGTGAGGATGCTGGGTGCCGCTAGGACAGACAGGGCTCTCAACCTGCAAGTGCTGCGGGCCTGGCCCCGGGGGCTTCGTACCCTCATGACGCAGTGTGCAGCTCAGCCGGCCTGACCCCAGGGGCCCGAGGTCAGGCCCGAGTCCAGGCCTCTAGGCCCTGCCTCTCCGGCTCTCCCTCACCGCACAGGGCACACCTGCTCCAGGCATGTGCGCTCAGTCGCTTCCGAGACGTTCTGCTCAGCCAGGCCTAGCGACGCTTGGGCTGCGGGCTCTCCTTCCCGGCCCGCCCATGGGCACCTTCCGGAGGCCGAGCTTCTCCTGCCTAGGGCTGGCGCCAGTAGGTGCCCAGTACACAGCAGGAACAGAACAGCAAAACCAGGACCGGGGCCTTGGACTTGTCCTTGACACCTCCAGCCTTGCCAGTCACTCTGCCCTTTCTGGTCCCAACAGCCAGGGCTGCTCCGTCCCCATAGGCCCATCCTGTTGGGGCCCCCTGGGGACACTGCTGCCCTGTGGGCCTTGGCGTGACTCCCAGCCCCCACTGCTTCCTATCACCATTCAGGACTGGGCACCCCAGACACACCTCAAGACCCATTCCCTGCAGCACACAGGGGCATGTGTGCCAGGGGCCTGGGCATGGAGGTGGGAGATCCCTGACCTGCCTGGGCCTTCAGGGAGCTGGGAAGGCGGTGTCTGGTGCAAAGCCCAGGCCTGCTCCCGGGGAGCAGCCTGGAGAACGTGGGTTCATGGGATGGAACCCCCAGCAGTGCCCACAAGGCCCCGGCAGTGAGGGGACGCTGCCCGCCCATGCCCTCACCAGCTGCTTCTCCGTGTCCTTGTCCCGGGGTGGGCAGCCACGAGAGTCAGTACAAGGTCTTCCACTTCCACCACGGTGGCCTGGACAAGCTGTGTGACACGCTGCAGCAGTGGAAATACTGCAGAGACGCACCTCAGCGACCAGGCAGCCGTGGCCCGTGGGCGCAGCACTTCCCTGGGTGCTGTGCACGGGGGCTCATGGGCCATGACTGCGGCGCTGGCTGCTGGCAGGCCCTGGGGGAGCCCCAGACCACGCTGCTGCCCCCCACCTCCAAAGGGGATCAAATGCTGTGTGCGTGGGCTCATGGGAAGCCATGTTTTGACAAGGTAGGGCTCCATCTGCATACCAAAGCCCCTAGGAGCCCCTGAATGCCCTGTTGCTGCCATGTCCGTGCTCTGGGCAGACCTGACGCTGGCACTCGCTGGCTCCCACCCTGCCTGCCCGCCGTGTGGACCGATCTTTGATTTCTGAATCCAGTGTCAGCCCCAGTTGCACCCGGGATTCGGGCCTGCATGGGGAGGTGACGTGACAGGCCGGCTCCCGGCTCGGGAACAGCGGCCCTTTGTATGTGGCCAATGACACGTCATTTAGCGAGGCCCTTAGCAGGCATTCATTCCGTGTTTGCGGCTGGGGTGGGAGAGAGGGGGCATGGAGCGGGGGATGGGGGATGCGAGTGGTCCGGGAGCGGGCGAGGAAGGCCGTCTGGGGACGGAGGGGTTTTCATCTCAATTGCATCTAATTGCACTTGCCACGTAGTGCCCCCTTTCAGCTCCTGGGAACGCCAGGGCCCCGGGGTGCCCATCGTGTCCCCTCCCCACCCCGCCAGCAGGTGGCCGACAACGAGGACATGCATGCAGTTCTTGGCGTCCCAAGCTGCCGTCCTGCGGTCCACCCTCAGGAACACACGTACAGGAAGCTGGATGTGGCTACCTGGCTCGGGCACCTGAACGACCCGGGCCGGCTGGAGGAGTACAGGCCACGGAAGGTGAGCTCTGGAGGGCGGGCAGATCACTGGGGGCACAGGACGGTGCAGCCATCAGGGTCTTGATGGGTTTGGGGGAGCCCCTGTCAGCTGCATAGAAGAGTCACAGGATTAGGACCTCCACGTTGGAGTGAGCGCGCCCCGGGGGGGCATTGACATGAAAATGAGGCCGGCTTGTGTCCTGCCTGGGAACCGAGGGCCAGGCCCTTCCCCTGGCAGTCAAACTCACTGCCCCAGAAGCTCAGGACACCCATCACCCCTGGAGGGGCGGGGCTGGGTCCCTTCAGCAACCTCCCCTTTCCCAACACGTGCGCCGCCCGCAGGCCATTTTCTTCGGTGGAATGGACATGTCCCTCCGTGGGGAGGTGTGGCCCTTCCTGCGGGAGGCACTGTGGGCCCAGAAGCACCAGGAGGACGTGGCCATCCAGCAGGGCAGGTAACCGCTGACTGCTGGCAGGCGTGCCCCTGGAGATGCCCAGCCACCTGGCCTCCCTGGCCTGGGCCTCCAAGGAGGCAATGCAAGGGCCTGCCATGGCCCCTTGGCTGCCCTGGGCTCCTTAGCTCCTGGGTCAGGGTCTTGGCATCTTTGCCCTGCAAGGCACCTAGCTGAATGAAGCTGGAGGGGGGTGGGCAGTGGAGCCAGGAATCCTTGGGCCCAGCACCCAGCGGCTGCGGGCAGCTGGCCCTGGGAGAAGCTCCCGATGGCGCTGGGCTGCGCTCAGCTGTCTCTGGGCTGCTGGGCTGCTGGGGCTGACCCCACCCCACATGTCATCTGTGTCTGTCCTATGGCACAGCTTAGCACCTTCCCTCAATCAGGGTTGGCGGGAGTGGGGGCCCTCCCCAGAGAGTGACCCTGTGACCCCCGCTGTGGCCCTGCGCTGCCTCTGACACTGCCCCCGCAGGCTCTGCACGACCCCCGAGGGGCAGAGGGACTTTTGGTACAACGTGCAGTTCGCTGTGGACAAGGGTGTGGTTCGCACAGACTGCAGCAGCCAGTTCTTCTGAGGGGAGGGGACCCCAACATGGAGAGCATGAAGTGTGTCCCCGCAGACCCCTCCCCTTCTCCCTAACTCAGGTACTCCCACCCAGACTCTCCAGGAGCCCCCGAGTGCCTGTGCAGCCCCTGGGCACATCCCTGCCCAGTGCCTCCCAACCTGCTACACTTCTCATGGTGGCCAGTGTTCAGGGCCGACCTGGGGAGCTGCAGGTGGAGCCCCACCCATCTCGACCAGGGCCAGGGCCCAGCCCCCAAGACAGGCCCGGCCCTGCCAGCAGCCAAGAGCAGCCAAGGCCTCGGGCCCAGGGTTCTTGGGACCCCAACCACAACGAGGACGGGGAGGGAGGGTCGTGCCCACCCTCTGCCGTCTTCCCCTCCCCATCCCCAACCAGGAGGATCCTGTTGAATCATGCCGTATGCAACCCAGCGGTCAGCTACTCCCAGGGTGAGGCTGACCTGGTGGCACCCATGCTGGCCGAGGTCCTGGATGAGTCGGACACCTTCTGGCGCTTTGTGGGCTTGCTGCAGGACACCATCTTTGTCAGCCCACCCCAGGACAAGGACACGGAGAAGCAGCTGGTGAGGGCATGGGCGGGCAGCGTCCCCTCACTGCCGGGGCCTTGTGGGCACTGCTGGGGGTTCCATCCCATGAACCCACGTTCTCCAGGCTGCTCCCCGGGAGCAGGCCTGGGCTTTGCACCAGACACCGCCTTCCCAGCTCCCTGAAGGCCCAGGCAGGTCAGGGATCTCCCACCTCCATGCCCAGGCCCCTGGCACACATGCCCCTGTGTGCTGCAGGGAATGGGTCTTGAGGTGTGTCTGGGGTGCCCAGTCCTGAATGGTGATAGGAAGCAGTGGGGGCTGGGAGTCACGCCAAGGCCCACAGGGCAGCAGTGTCCCCAGGGGGCCCCAACAGGATGGGCCTATGGGGACGGAGCAGCCCTGGCTGTTGGGACCAGAAAGGGCAGAGTGACTGGCAAGGCTGGAGGTGTCAAGGACAAGTCCAAGGCCCCGGTCCTGGTTTTGCTGTTCTGTTCCTGCTGTGTACTGGGCACCTACTGGCGCCAGCCCTAGGCAGGAGAAGCTCGGCCTCCGGAAGGTGCCCATGGGCGGGCCGGGAAGGAGAGCCCGCAGCCCAAGCGTCGCTAGGCCTGGCTGAGCAGAACGTCTCGGAAGCGACTGAGCGCACATGCCTGGAGCAGGTGTGCCCTGTGCGGTGAGGGAGAGCCGGAGAGGCAGGGCCTAGAGGCCTGGACTCGGGCCTGACCTCGGGCCCCTGGGGTCAGGCCGGCTGAGCTGCACACTGCGCCATGAGGAGGCGCCAGCTGCCCATGTGGCCTGGTCCCTGTAGAGGGAAGCTGACTCACCAGGCCGGGCTGGGAGTGGACTCTGGCAAGGGGGCCATAGGCGAGGGCTCGGATGCTGGCAAGGGCACGGGTCATGGGCCCGCCAGGCCCCAGGGACTGTGCTCTGCAAAGCCATCCCCTCATCGGCCATGCCTCTGCTCACCGCCTGCCTCCCTGGCCATGGGCCTTGATGTGACCTTCCGGCCCCCAGCGGGCAGTGGCAGTCTGCCTCTGTGGTCAAGCAGCACAGGGCTGGGCCAGCCAGCGACAAAGCAGGTACACGCCCTTCCTGTTGAAGTCAGGGCTGTCCTCGTATCACTGGGAGGTGACTCTGGGCTGGGAACCCTCCCCTTCCCACCCTCAGTCCCCAGGAAGGTGAGGGGAGTTGTCAGTCGGGGGCCAGACCTCCTGGGGGCTCCCGGGGAGCGGGCACAGGGCTGACACGGCCTGGCCTTGCCCCCAGCTCTACCTGCAGGAGCTGCTTGCCTGATGCAGCCATGCTTCCACCACCACCTGCTGTGGCTGAGTGAGGATGCTTCCACCACCACCTGCCGAAGCTGAGTGAGGATGCTTCCAACAACACCTGCTGTGGCTGAGTGAGGACGGCCTGCAGCTGCTCTTCTCCCACTGCTGCCTGCTGCTCTCCCCGAGACCCTGCGCATGTGGGCGGCCTGCTGGGCCCACTACCAGGTGAGCCCGGGCTGAGGTTTGAGGGTCCCTCCTCTGGGGTCCTCCACACAGTGGCGGGGTCTCCCTCCAACCCCTGCAGTCCCTTGGGTAGGCTCAGCCGTGGCCAGGTTCAACCCCTGAGATCTGGCAGTGCCCCTGGGGAGCTCTGGCTGTTCCCGGCTTCCTCCTGCCATCCGGCATTATCCACGTCTCCTTGCCGGATGCCCCTGGGAGTGCAGGTAGTCCTGTCCTGCAGCTTTCCCGCCCGGACTGGGGGGACAGGCCAGCCACAAGCAGGAGAGCCAAATTTCTCTAGTCCTTCCATCAGCCTTGTAAACCCAAGCCTCCGGGCGCCAGAAGGAAGGACCGCTGGATCTGAGCTCAAGCGCCCCTCAAATCTGCATACCTGCGCCTGCCAGCCTGTGGCCATGGGGCCAGCGTCACCCCTCCTGGCAGGAGCACGAGGGAGCTTTGGGGAGATGCTTTGCGCTCCTTCGACCCTGGCTCAGGGCTGTTTCCTGTCTGAATGAGCGCTTCCTCCAGGGTAGGAGGGAAGCCTCCACCTAGGGCAGAGTTGGGGGGCAGCCCTGGCATGGTGCCCCATGTGCTGGCCCCCCAGGCAAAGATGCAAACTGGTGTCTTGCTGCCTTGTTTTTCCAGCAGCACTCCCCTGTTCTGGAGACGGCCGTTCTAGGCTGACAGAGAGAGAGACGGGGACAGGACAAGCGAGCAGTGGCCACCACTATGCCCCGCCCACATTCTGTGAGTGGAGTTGGCGTGTCGCTCGCTGGCGGCCTTGGAGCAGGCTCTGAGTGGCCGCACAGGGGACTGTCCCTGGATCTGCTGAGCGCTGGCAGAAGGCCACTGCTACATGAGGCCCTTAAAAAAAAAAAAAAGATGTATTGATTTGAAAGGCAGAATTACAGAAAGGGGGAGAGAGAGCACCTCCACCTCCCAGTTCCTTCCCAGGCGGGATCCAGGAGCTAGGAACCCCAGCTGGGTCTCCCACGTGGGTGCAGGGGCCCCAGGCACTTGGGCCATCCGGGGAGCTGGATGGAAGTGGAGCTGCCAGGACTGGAGCCAGCGTCCATGTGGGATGCTGGCAGAGGTTTTGCCCACTATACCACATGCAGTCCCTAAGCTGCCTCGCTGAAATGCATAGACTTGGGAGAGACATCTGTTTCCCTCCATGTTTGTGTCCCAGAGGAGCTGGGGGCTTCCCAGGGATGCCCCTGCTGTCGCTCCCTCATTGGAGTCAAGATGAGGCCATTGTGCATCCACTGGGAGAGTGGATACATCCACTGGGAGAGCTAAAGCCCAGTGCCGGCTGAGAGCAGGCTGCTGGCGGGCCTGAGCCTCTGCCCAGTTGGGTCCAGGGGCTGGCTCTGGCTGCCTGAAACAGCAGAGGAAGGGTCTCTTCTGGATCCTGGAACATACAGGCCCAGTGGGGGCCAGGCTAGCACACTTAGGGAGCAACGGGCCAGCACCCAGTGTCCACTGCCCATGGTGGCCTGTGGGAAGGGCTGACAGCAAGGTTGGGTCCCCGTCAGGGAGCTGCTGGGCTTGCCCACATACTCTGCTTCACACTTCCTTGCAATAGACCCGACACTTGTTGCAGGCCATGGGCTGGAGACATCACGGCTTGAGGGAAGAGGACAGAGTGACCGCTGGGCACGTAACAGAAGGTTCTTCCTTGACCATCCGTGTGTTCTGACCCAGCCTTGTGCACACAGGCCCTGGGGACGAGTCTGAGAGCTTGGAGCCAACCAGGGTGCTTGGGCAACACTGCACACTGCACACACCCCCTGTGCTCACAGACCCTCTGCACACACCCCCTGTGCTCACAGACCCTCTGCACACACCCCCTCTGCTCACACGCCCTCTGCTCACACGCCCTCTGCTCACACGCCCTCTGCTCACACCCCCTCTGCTCACAGACCCCTACACACAGCCCCCTTTATACACACCTCTTCTGCCCCACCCCCCTGGACCAGCCACTCTGCTCCCCTCCCCCCAGGGCCTGTACCTGATTACCCCGTCCCTCCCCCCTCAGATTACTCCCACCTCCTCATCGGTGTAGCCATCGTGGCCATGTGCAGGGATGACGTCATTGAGCAGAGCTGGTCACTGACCAGATGCTGCTGCACTTTGGAAACCGTGCCATGCACATAAACGGAGAGCTGGCACTCAGGAAGGTGAGTGCAGCCCCACCCCTGAATGAAAAGCTCCGTCCCCATGCTCAGAGCCCTGCCTCCACGCTTGCAGCCAGGCCCCCAAAACTGCAGGCCACACTCTGCCCGGGGAGACCCTCATTCACAGCGCCCTCCCACACTCAGCCTTCCCAGCACTCCTGTGCCCCACTTCCAGCGCTGGATTCTACACTACCCAGGTCCAGAGGTCAGCAGGTGTCGCTGGGCGTGGGGTTCTGAATGTCGGAGCCTGGCTGGCCGCTGCACGTGCTCTGAGGTGAGCCAGCTCCAGGCAAGGCCTTGCTCCTAGCCCAGACCTGGGGAAGGAGCCAGGAGACCTGCTTTGGCCTCAGCAGGCCCCTGGGTGGGGAGGTTCCCCGGCTGCGCCTGCTCCTCCTCTCCAGGTTCCCTCTCTCCGCAGGCAAGGAGTTTGCTGTATCGGTTCCGCCTCCTGCCTCGCATCTCCCAGAGCCTGCGTGACATCTGCAAGCTGTGTGGGACAGGTATGTGGGACGGCGGGTCCATGCCTGCCGTGGAGTGCACTGGCCAGCACCCGGGCTCCGAGCTGCCCATTCGGGGGCACCTTGGAGTTGCCTTCGCCCAAGCCCCCTACAGGCTGTGGTGCCCGGAGGACTGTATGTGCAAATGTGGCCAGCAGCCTCACCCCAAGACATGGGCAGCTGGTTCCAGGAGGGCCCCAGAAGTCGGGGAGGAAGGGACCCAGCCTGATGCATCTGCCAGCATGAAGGAGACCCAGACAGCAGCGGGGCTGGCCCAGGCTTAGAGCCTGTCTGCAGGTGAGCCAAGTGCAGGGCCCCCGTGCCCCCATCCTGCCAAACTGTGACATCCATAGAAAATCCTGCCCAACTGGCAGTAGACAGGTCAGGGGCAGCTGGGCATGCACCTGGCTTGCCCCTTGAGGCCAAGCTACAGAACCTGGGGAGCAGTGGGCTTCCTGTCTGCTGGTGGGTCAAAGGTCTCCCTGGGCAAAGACAGCAGCCAGAGCCAGCAGCCAGAGCCAGCAGCCAGCAACCAGCAGCCAGCAGCCAGCAGCCAGCAGCCAGCAGCCAGCAACCAGCAACCAGCAGCCAGCAGCCAGCAGCCAGAGCCAGCAGCCAGCAACCAGCAACCAGCAGCCAGCAACCAGCAGCCACAGCCAGCAGCCAGAGCCAGCAGCCAGCAACCAGCAACCAGGGGCCAGCAACCAGCAGCTAGCAGCCAGCAGCCAGCAGCCAGCAGCCAGCAACCAGCAGCCAGCAGCCAGAGCCAGCAGCCAGCAACCAGCAGCCAGAGCCAGCAGCCAGCAGGGGGTCCAAGTTATGTATGTGTGTGGAGGATCCCCCGCAAACCTGCTGTGCCTGGGAAGTGGCCAGCTGTGAACTGGACAGAGCCAAGAGTTACTGTCGCGTTCAGGGTTCCCCAGGCGGTGGGCCGCTGGAGCAGCCCCAGCAGAGCAGGCTGCAGTCAGGGCTCCCTGCTTTCCTGTGGGAGCACTCTGTGCCCTCAGCTCCCAGACCCAAGTGCCTGCTGGCTCCCAGACCCAAGTGCGTGCTGGCCAAAGGGAGCCGCCTCCTCCAGCTTTTCTTGGGCGCTCTTGGCAGGCACCTCCCAGCTCCTGCGCCTCAGGGTCCCCGCGTGGGAGCGTGGGCTTCCTACCTGCTTGTTTCTGGAGAGACACTGGCTTCCATGCCAAGGCTCCCCCTGCCCCCATGTGTGTCTGTAGGTGTCACTGCCGTCAGGCCGGGCACAGGTGCGCCATGCCTCAGGGGCCACAGTTGCTGTCACAGCCAGGCAGTTCTGGTCTTGTCTGGACTTGGGGTGTGAGTTCTAGCAGGGGGGTCTCTCTCAGCCTCCTGCAAGCCTCGCCTTGGTGAAGGGAAGGGGTAGCAATGGTCAGGCAGCTGAGCAGACCCCCCCCGACCAGCACCCTGTGGGCCACAGCAGGTCCTACGGCCAGACTGGGCACCACAGCACGAAGTGGACGAAGGCTGAGGACGGAGTGGGTAAACCCCTGGGTCCCCTCATGCAGACACCCCCCTCTGGCACGGCCCCTCGCCTGAGTGGCCAGCCTCCATGTATATGCACGCCCAGGCTGTTGCTCTGTTGTCCAGCCTGGGAGTGCTGTGCAGAATTCTTCTGAGGTGAGAAGGCACCTTGGTGGGCCTGCGCTGCCTCCCACGGGGCCACATGGTCGGGCACAATGCCCATTCATGCTGGAAGTCCCCGCTAGCTCATGGCTCCTGGGGCAGAGGGCTGGGCATGCGCCCTCGGCCACCTGTCCCGCTCACAGAGGCGCAGCGGGAATCAGCATAGGGTTCTGACCCAAGTTCCATGCAGGAAGGCCAGAGGTCACGGCCTGCCAGAGCCAGTCCCCCACTCGCAAACGCATGGAGCGTGTACGAAGTCCGGAGGGCCAGCTCCGGGGCTGGAAGGCCACAGGGCCGCTGGGAAGGAGGACTCTGCCTGTCCCCTGGGGGTGTCTGGAGCATGTCAGGGGTAAGGGGCGCGGGAGGGCAGCCAGACACAGGGAGGCTCCCCTGGGCTGTGGCCAGCTCTGGCCTTCCGGGCAGGGAGTGGGGCTCGCAGCTCCCCCTGCTGGAGACCCAGCGTGGGTCAGGGGTAGACTCCTGTGAGCCCCGCCATCCTGGGCAGAGGCGCTGCCTGCTGCGAAGGAAGGAAAGAGAAGTGAAGCTTGGGCCAGGGGTCCCCCAGTGTGGAGGGACCACCCCAAACTAATGTGTGCCTGCCCCAGAGTTTGTACAACCTGAGAGGTGGGGGGCGGCCCCCTGCCATGGGCCCTGGCTGCCTCTACTCTAGCCTCAGCTTTCACATCTGAGAGATGGGCTTCCCCACACCCACCCAATATGATCACAGAGGCTCTCACATCCAAGCTGCCATGAGAGTGATTGGCTGTGTCCCCAGCAGCCACCCCTGTCACTCAGGGGGACACCCCTGGCCCTGGCCCTCGGCGGCAGGGGCTCATGCCGGAGTCAGCCACACGCCTTCATGTGCCCAGCCAGTGGCGCCCCGGCCGAGGGGGCCTCCCCATGTCTCTTCTGTGGAGTCCACTCCATGCCACCCACCACAAGGCATGTCCCAGCTGTCCCGTGAGACGTGTGTCTGCATCGCAAGCTTTCCTGTAAGAAGGTAGCGTGGGCCTGTGGGCTGGACAGCCCTGTGAGTTGCAGGCGCCAGCTCCTGGGGCGGGCTTGGAAAGTGGACAGAGGCGTGCTGGCAGCCTAGATGGGCGGGGTTGACCATCTGTGGGGAGCCCTTTGCTCCCACAGCTTTGGGAGAGTGGGCACTGCTGTCACGGGCTCTGCCAAGAGCTCGCCAGCATTCATGGCACGCTGTTTGTCCTCTGCTTTTCGTTCCAGTCAGGCCCTGGGACTGGCCAGGCAAATGCCCAGCAGTGCCTGCTGGCTGGCCCAGCGATGCCACTCCACTGCAAAGCAAATAAAACCATCCTGACAACCAACGTGTGTTGCTCTGCACTGCTGGTGGGGTTGGCGGGTTGGCGGACTGGGTATGGGCACCCCGTGGGAGGGCAAGGAAGGCCACGTCCCCCTGCCCGGTGTCCTGCAGGTGGGAGGTTGGCAGGGAACACAAGGGGTCACTGCCGTGGAAGGACCTTGCCCACTGGGCCACAGGGGGCATGCAAGGGGCAGGACAGCCCCAAGTTAGGCAGAGCTAAGGGACTGCTGGACATCCCAGGCTGAGGTTGGACTCTGCCGGACATGCTAGGGAAGGGAGGGGCCGCAGGAAGCTGCAGGACTCTGGCCTCAAGGCTGTGAACTTGCCCAGGAGGCAGACAGGTGCCTGTGACCCTGTTAGGTGGGGGCAGCTGATGGGGAGACAGAGTCCTCAACCTGCTGCCCCTCCCAGCCCCGCACTGGCCACCGCGTGGGGGGCGGGTAGAGGCTAAACTGGACACAGGGGCAGCTCAGTCTCAATTGGGCGATCCGTCCCCCACGGGGCACCCTGTGGGAGGACTGGGCCACAGTGACCACCAGCTCGGGTGACCACCACCTCGGGCCATGGGCTGGCCCTGTCCCCAGGCGGAAGGACCTGTCCCTGGGTGCTGCCCAGAGCGGATGTGGCCTGGGTTGTTTGCATTTGCTCCACTGTAGTTGTCCTGAGCTGACAGCCCCGGGGTGGGGCCGCCCTGGGGACCACAGCCCCTCGGGGTTGGAGGAGGGGCTCTCAGGAGAGGCTCTAGGGGCCATGTGGGCTTCCAGGAACACATGCTGTGCCCAGCCCCAGGCCTGCCCAGGGAAGTGAGTGCCCGCTGTGCCAGCCCTCACTGCTGGTAGCTGGGGCTCCTCTCCCTGCAGACCCTACTCTGGGGACACAGGAAAACAGGGTCACTGTTCCTTCCAGTGCAAGTCCGGCCTCATGAGCCCAGGGCCTCCAGCCACTGGGGCCACCTCCCCCGACCCCACCATACACAGGGGAGCCTGGGATCAGCAGGCGGCTTCTGGCCCCTGGTGTCGCTGAGATACCCCTGGGGCATGACTCTGTCAAGTTCACAGCTAGGGCTCCAGTCCCCAGGCACACCTGCACTTGTGTGTAGGGGGAGAGGGGGTACAGAGCTGCCCACCCACACGTGTGCCCTGGGAAGGAATGAGTCCTGTGGCCACATTCACACCTCTGCCTAGTACTAGGGACCTTGGGGACAACATGCAGACCTGGCAGCTGAGGACGGCCACTCCAACGCAGCTCCTTCTCTCCTGCACAGGGAGCAACCGGGTCAGACACCTTGGCTGGCAGGGAGCTGGCCGGGGCTGTGCGTGGCACCTTGGCTGCAGGGAGCTGGCCAGGGCTGTGCGTGGCACCTTGGCTGCAGGGAGCTGGCCAGGGCTGTGCGTGGCACCTTTGGCTGCAGGGAGCTGACCTGGCTGGCAGGGAGCTGGCCGGGGCTGTGCGTGGCACCTTGGCTGGGAAGGAGCTGGCCGGGGCTGTGCGTGGCACCTTGGCTGGCAGAGAGCTGGCCGGGGCTGTGCGTGGCACCTTGGCAGAGAGCTGGCTGGTTCTGTGCGTGGTACCTTGGCTGGCAGGGAGCTGACCTGGCTGGCAGGGAGCTGGCCGGGGCTGTGCGTGGCACCTTGGCTGGCAGGGAGCTGGCCGGGGCTGTGTGTGGCACTTTGGCTGGCAGGGAGCTGGCTGGGGCTGTGTGTGGCACCTTGGCTGGCAGGGAGCTGGCAGGGAGCTGGCTGGGGCTGTGCGTGGCACCTTGGCTGGCAGGGAGCTGGCTGGGACTGTGCGTCCCGGGTGTCCCCTCACTGCCCCGCCCCCGGCTGATGTTCAGTACGTGTTGGCACTCACTTTTACAAGCTGTGTACTTTGCTGTGGGCCCGTGCCGGGGACTTCTCCACAGTGTTTGCCAGCAGGGGCCTACAGTGATGCTTTTATTACCCAGCAAACACCTGCCTAACCGCGTGGGGGTGGAGGCCACCCCGCTGCCGTGCCTGGGACTCTAGGGAGCCTGAAGGGTCGGGGTGGGGGAACAGGGCAGGGCAGGAATCGCTCTAGGCCAGCAAGGCTGAAGCCAAGGACTAGGGGCCTTGGCTGCGGGAGGGGCTGCTGACAGCCGGGTGCACAGAGAAGTCATGACCGCCTGGCCCCAACAGCCTTG